CCTCCACTCAGTCACCCCAGCCAGTGCCCTACTCCACCCTATCAACAACAGCAGCAGCAACAACAACAACAACAACAGCAGCAGCAACGGACCAGTCAACAGCAATCGGATTCTGGTATGCGGCCCTTAAAGTATACACAGGAACAAGAAAATACACGTAAGCCTTTCACAAGTCAGAGAAAGTTTCTGTGCTGTTTTATTACAATAGTAAACATTATAGTTTTTTTAATATTTATGAGTATTACAGCATGGTTATTGTGTAATTTGAAAATATGATACTGAGGAGAATATTTAGACCTAAGAGATAGGAAGTCACACGAGGACAGAGAAAAGAGTTTCTCATTATGTAATATACTAAATTGCACACTTACTGTGTTCTGCTGAGGTCTGAATATTTCCTGAGTACTTTGTCATGTGGTGCTTGTAATCTGCATTATTTCACACCCAGTTTGATATTTGCTTGTTTGATGCATGATTAGTTCTGTTCACAGAGGCCTAAAAGTTCACAGACGTGACCCAAACATGGCAAATTTTGTTTTACTAGTGCTGCTACCATTAGGCTACTTTTAGATGTACTTTAGTATGGGTAATGAAAACATTTAAATATCATAATACATGAGAAGGCTGATATTTGTTACTGTTTTTGTAATTTGAAAGGGATGGGAAAGGAGATAAAGATACAAAAGTGATAAATGAAAAAAAGAATGCAAGTGAGCACTCATTTCTCATTGAATTTTAGCAGGCCTTTACCATTAGTTATTATATAAGAATGGTTTTCAGTCTTGAGTAATGCATGTTTCTTCAAACAGTACAGTTACCACCATGAGGGTGAATGCTAAAACAGTGATGGAATTTTAACAAGTGGCACTGTTCAGACCTGATCACCCATTTTTTATGTTAGTACTGACATAGAATTGTTATTATTCTTTCAAAGCAAGAAATCACATTTTACCCCCATACAAAACAACAGGCAAAATTATTGTTTTGTATATCATAGATCAGATTATATTATTAAAATATGCCTTAGTAAAACAGGTTGTGAAGACTCAAACTAGGTCAGTAACAGGATTTTATGGTAACAGAGATGAACTTTTGGGTTTTATAATAAGAAAGGGTTTCCTGTGCACTTGAATAGCTGTTGATTGTTTAGGAAACACTGTGTTATTAAACTTTATAATAAACACACAGTTACTGTTGGCAGAATTGTATGATTGTTGTTTCCACAGGTTCATCTACCCCACCTGGCATGATGCAACACCCCATGCGACCACCAGGTCCTCCTGGTGGGCAGCCTCCCACACAGTCTCCAATGACGGCTCAGATGGCCCCCACCATGGGACCAGCCCCACCTCCTCCCCAACCACAACAGCAGCAGCAACAGCCACAACAGCAACTACCCATGCCCCCTGCACCACTAGTTCAGTCTCCACGACTACCTCAGCATCCGTCTGCTCAGCCCATCATACCTGCACCGCCGTTAGTTCAGCAACCGCCTCTGCCTCCACCTCCTGTAGTGATGCCACAAGGGCCAGGTCCCATGCCACAGATGCCGAATCAGCAGCAGGCAGTTGGCCCTGGTCCAATGTCAGGAGGCATGCCACCCATGGTACCCTCAAGCAGACCGTCAGCACCTCCAGTGCAGCAGCCCTGCACACCACAAGCCCAGCAGAAACAGAATCGAGTCACGTCTCTTTGTAAGCCACTTGGTTTGGATCCACTTCTCATATTGCAGGAGAGAGAGAATAGGTAATAATCAGCGGCCCTTTCTTGCTTTAGAGCTTATGTTGTCAAACTCTCTAATTGTCTTTAAACTAACTAGCTGAATGAAGAAGACATAGTTCTGATACACTGTCCTATTATGCTCTAGTTTCTTCTCCAGCATTGAGCAAATGCAGAATATGTGATCAGTAGTTGATCTGTTTTGTCAGAATGTTTGTTCCATTTGATGAACTTCTATATTTAAATAACCTATAAATCACTCGGTTCTTTCAAAAATCAGTAATTTTGCCTCATCCCGTGCATTGCAGAGTTGCAGCTCGTATTGCTCAGCGCATTGAGCAGCTCAGTAACCTACCGATCACCATACCAGAAGATCTTCGTGTTCAAGCTCAGATAGAACTCAGAGCTCTCAGAGTTCTTAATTTCCAGAGGCAGCTCAGATGTGAAGTGAGTTCTGTTCATTCAATTTTATTTGAAAAGCAATGTCTACTGCACCATCATAATCTCTTAATTGAAAAAAAAATAACATTTTCAGATTTTGTCCTGTACACGGAGGGATACATCCCTTGAGACAGCAATTAATGTGAAAGCATACAAACGCACGAAGCGTCAAGGATTGCGTGAGGCGAGAGCGACCGAGAAATTGGAGAAACAGCAGAAACTGGAGGCAGAGAGGAAGAAGAGACAGAAACATCAGGTAAAATGAATGCATGTAGCAAGCAGCTATCGGCCTAACTTTTTAAGTATGTTTACAATATTTATGCACTCCCACGGTCTTTGTTTACCTTTAAATCTTGAATGAATATTTTATATGTATTGAATTATGTTAGCTTTTATTATCTTTTCAGTAAACTAACTTAAATTATCAGAATCAGTAACTGTGTATTTCCATGAACAACAGAAAGTAGTTAGTCCTTTATTGCAGGAATTCTTGGTATCAATTCTGCAACATGGAAAGGACTTCAAAGAATATCACCGAAACAACCAAGGCAAAGTGGCACGCTTGAACAAGGCTGTCATGAATTACCATGCAAATGCAGAGCGTGAGCAGAAGAAAGAACAGGAACGGATTGAGAAGGAGCGTATGCGTCGCCTCATGGCAGAAGATGAAGAAGGGTATAGGTATGTGCATGAAACATGTTCCTTTGTACTTTGATTTTATTTAAACATCTCCTTTAGGATTTTCAAAGCTTGTTATGAGGATTTCATTGAGCATTTGAATATTCGACACTGTTTGGGAAACCTAGACATAGGTATGAAGATAGTATTGAGATGGAGCCCAAGGAAATAATGTTAGGGAGAAGACAGGATTCATCTGGCTGAGGATATGGTCTGGAGGTGGACTTGGTGAGGGTGGTAATGATAATACAGTTTCATTTTTCTTCTCTCTCTCTCATATAAGGATTGTGGTTCAGGAATTTCTTGACTGGCTAAACACCTATTAGTGTGTGAAGAAAGACCGTCTCATGGAGTTTATTTATATAGGCTGTTTAAAACTGTGATATTTTCATACAAAGTGGCAGTAACATTTTCTCCACAACAAATTTCTTGCTCCCTCAACAAGCACAGCTTTAAATTAAAAATTGTTTGATGATAGTCGACATATGATGATAGCAATATTATCAAATGTTATACTTTACACCAGGGGTTCTTTTCCTTAGATGATCTGAGGCCACATAACTAGACAGACAAATAGATTATATCCTCTCTCACCTTTACTAAAATACTGCCCTTGATGCACAGATTATAAAAGTAAAACTTGGTATGTTCATGATGAAAGTTTTATTTATTCTCCTGTTGACTGAACTGTCTGCAGATAACTCCAGAGGGCTGATGATGGAGGAAGTCTGTTCCTCTATGTAGGTATCATCTGCCCATGTTCTGTCACAGTATAAAGCAGGTTAATCTGATGAACCAATCAATGTTGTGTTACAGGAAACTAATTGATCAAAAGAAGGACAAACGTCTTGCATTCCTTCTGTCACAGACAGATGAATATATTGGAAATCTCACAGAAATGGTAAAGCAGCACAAAATAGAACAGAAGCGCAAACAGCAGGAACTTAAACAGAAGAAAGTAAGTACACTTCTTATATTACTTATCATTATATGTTGTTCTGTCTGTTTCTTTTGATTCCTCACTAGCTAATTAACTAATTCTTAACTGTTGGAACCATAGTTTTCTAGACCAGTGGTATTCAACCTTTTTTGTTCATGATATAATTTCTCTTCAACTTTGTACCCTCCAAGTTACTGGTGTATAATTCAAATTATACATAGTATAATCTACATCTAAAATAAATGAAATAAATTACATTACTGATTATTCAGTGTTTATCATAAAATAATTATTTTTTTTAAATTTCGCATACCCCCGAAGATGTCTTCGCGTACCCCCAGGTGTACATAATTATTCCCTTCTCAGTTGTTGCTGCATAACCTTTGCCGTTGTTATTAATGAACCTACAAATTGGTGAATACGATGTTGGTATTACAGAAGAAGAAGAAGAAGAAGGCTGAAGGTGAAGGCAGTGGAGAAGGAGGTGAAGGGGATGAAGAGAGCTCTCACTCTGTAGATCCAAGAGTTGCTGTTGTTGAACTATCTACCGGTAAGTTATGAATTCAAATGGTGGTGAGAAGGTTATTGTCTTAACACAGAACATTTCTGTAACTGTTACACTGTATGGCCCATGAACAAATAGAACAAATGCCATGGTGCAGAGTGTTCTTGAGGTGCTGATGGTCATTCAGTCAAGAAATTCTTTACTGTTTGTGGGACCCCCACAAAGTCCTCTACTGGATTCTATCCTGAAGCATATTGTTCCATTCCACACCTTCACATCCCATTCATTATGATCCATCTTAATATTATTCTTCCATTTGTGCCTAGGTCTTCCTTCAGAGTTTCTGATAAAAATTTTGTGTGTGTATCTCAACTGCCCAAGCATGTTTATGTCCCACCTGTTTAATTTGCCTTAATTTGATCATTATAATAATATTTGACAAAGAGTACAAATTGTGATGTACCTTATTATGAGTTTTAAGAAAATTACTAAAACCACAAGTGCCTCTTTTATCAGTAAGAGTTCATTTGACTTTTGTATTTAAAAACTTTGGTATTGTTATTAAAATTCCATATTCTGTAACTCCTGAATAGTACATGGTATAGAGCAGTGGTATTCAACCTTTTTTCTTCACGTACCCCCAGATATAATTTCTCTTCAACTTTGTACCCCCAAAGTTACTGGTTTATAATTCAAGTTATACATAGTATATAATCTACATCTAAAATAAATTAAATAAATTACATTACTAATTATTCAGTGTTTATCTCTCTTTTTTAAATTTCACGTACCCCCTAAGATGTCTTCGCGTACCCCAGGTTGAATACCACTGGTATAGAGCATTGCAATGTTTAGGTCTGGCCTTTAATACCCTGTGGGACAAAGGTATGGAGAGAGAGAGGAGCTAGAATACTAAAAATTAACAGAGCCAGTCAGCACCCTGAAAATAATTGACACTAATCGTTTAGTTTTTCAGATTTCTTTGTCATGCCGGAAGGGGGATTCTTTTGTACTATAAGTGTCTAAATAAGTTATGTCTGTCATAGAAAATAGGGCACAAAAGATACAAAGTTATCCACAGCAAACCCTGTGAGCAAAGCCTCTGTGGTGAGAAGCTGGCAATTAACTGTGCTGATAGGCCAGGTTCTGTCTTTAGTGAATTATTTTCCTGTTTGGTAATACACAGATTCTGACTAGAAATTTCTGCACAAACAAGAGTGAGCAGAAATATTGTTGTGGTGGAAAAATAAATCTCTCAGGATGAAACATCTCTTAAGAAATGTTAATTCATATTTTGTCCCCGTGGGACAGACTCTTGTTGCACAGTTCATCATTGTTAAAAATCAGTGCCCTTAACATTCAGTATCTTCAATACAAATTAGTCCACTTTTAAAATTTGAAAACCACTAGCACGTTTATCTTCAGCACACTCTTTAAACTTTGAAAGTCATTTTTAAAAAATTCACAGATCACTTTACTTCACAATGCATCATTTCTGAATGACTTGTCGTAAAGCTTTGAAATGAATGGCAAATGTTTCAGCATGTTGTTTTCTACCATCAGAATGCCAGAAACTCTACTGATTATAATTTTGCTGCTAGTTTTGGAATATTTTGATTACACCTTGTGTTTAATTATTTGGCAGGCAAACTGTTGACTGGTGAAGAAGCACCATTGGCAAGTCAGCTGCAGGCCTGGCTTGATGCCCATCCTGGTTGGGAGGCACATGAAGAGGAGGATGATGATGAGGATGAAGATGATGATGAAGAAGATGGTTCAGAGGACGACTCTGAGGAAGAAGAGCAGGATTCTGCATCCAGTGAGTGATTCTACTGTTAACTGAACAATTTTCCTGTCATGTGGTTGTTGTGTATTTAAGAAATTGTATTTATTTCTGGTTTGCTGTAACAGTACTTTTTGTTTTATTTTTGCTAAACATTCTACAGTGTTACTGGAATACAATGAGTACAATTTACAAGAACTTCGTTATAGTAAAAAAGTTAATCAGCACCATGAAGTAGTTAATGTTACATGTACGAGGTGCGATCGGAAAGTTTCAAGACTGCGCCTATAAAAACCCGTACACTTATCTCAGGTATTAAATTCATCCATCACCCTCGAAGTAGTTCCCCTGGGAGTGAACACAACAATCCCAGTGCCGCTGCCAAGCCTGGAAGCATCCCTGGAAATCTTTCTTTGTCAGCCTGTCAAGCACCATCTGCGATTCTGCCTGAATCTCTTCTATCGTCTCAAATCTCCTTCCCTTTACCTGAATTTTCTTCTTTGGGAAGAGGAAGAAGGCACACGGAGCTAA